GATGAAAAGTTACGTATTGCACTCGAGTGGAAAGATTTTTCAGCTTGTGCTCGTTTGTTTCCCTCGCTGACGCTCAGGATTCTAATTTAGAATCACTCGCTGCGCTCGTGATTCAACTTTAGAATCCTTCGCTTGCTCGGTCATCCAAATCGAGCACGCGGTTAAAAAGGAACTTTCCACTCTTGTATAATAAATAACTATTTTAGGGTAGATTCCCTACCTGGAATTGATTTTATTTTTTCATCGTCTACCCCATCGAGTGGGGTATGGTTGAATAGGTTCTTTAAAATTACTTTACAGTTTCTATTATACTATTTTTCGATTGATGATCCGTTTGCGAAATATTGAACTTTAAAATACTTATGTTTGTTCGTGTGTACTTTTCATGAACTTTTAAGAAAAATTATAACGGTTGAAATTAATTTGTTGGTTTCAGAGTAATACCTAGTCGTTCCACTTGTGTATTAGTGGGCGGGATTGGGGGGGAGGAGGAGTCCCACATAACCCCGTCTCTCATCCAAGGGCGGGGTATGCGTCACGAGTTTTCCCAACAATAAAAAAAAAGATTGATGGAAAGCAGATTTGGTAAAAAATTGCTGCCTGAATCACTAAGTCAACGCGGGCGAAGTCGCGGGCAAAAGCTAGTTATACTATAATTTTAAATGCATGCATGCATCATGTCTAGCTAACATTTAAGTAAGTAATACGAAATTTCGTAGACGTTTTTTTTCTAACATTGATTAATATTATCAATTCTGTTTAGGTATCATTCGAGATAAGTTATCTAATATTTAAAATTAATTAAAATCTGTACTTACCTACACTAAACACCTGGCAACCACAGTGATTATGATAGTGAACTTTGTTATTTCATTATATTAAAAAATCCTTGTGACATTAATTCCTCTGCATGTAAGTAAGAAATAAACTTTATGCAACTTCATTATTTTAATAACTAGGTAATTAGTAAAACATTCATTCGTTAAGCAAACGTAAATTAGATGCAAAAATCGTAAATTAATTATCCCCATTGATTTATTTCATACAAAATATTTTTCAATGCTTTAAAAATAATATCAATTGGTTAGTTTATTGTGGAATGATTTTGGGAAATATTTATTATACAAACACAGAATTAACAAATCGATGATTTATTGAATTCAAAAAGATTAGCTTACTTAAATCAAGTATCTAATTATGTTGTAAATATAATTAGATACTTACTTAATCCTTTTAAATTAAAGTATAATACTTGTGAAATAAAATTGTGGTTGGCGCCTAGCTTGCTTTGCTTGGATTCGAGCATATCACGCGAGCAATGAGCATTTGATTGATATTCGCATGATATCATAGATGCACATGTTAATATATTCTTTATTCCACTAGAAATAAAGTTGCTGTTTGTTATAGTGTTTTCGTCAATATTATACGTCATAGAATATTAATGTATATTCGACAAGGGTCTCAGTTCGTCGGTACAGATGGTAGAGTAAATGTGTGTGTGATACTTTGAACATTTTCATAAAAAAGGTACGTAAATATTTGATACATTTTGTTACATTTTTTTTTACATAAAAATTATGGAACTGTAAGTTATCCTTACTGAACCTGTAATGCCATAGTTATTATGTGAAATTTTATGTATGAAATGAAATAGACGTAGAATCAAAACAAATCCTTACTAATATTATAAAGGCGAAAGTTTGTTTGGATGGATGTATGGATGGATGTTTGTTCCTCTTTCACGCAAAAACTACTAAACGGATTTTAATGAAACTTTACAGTAATGTAGCTTATAGATCAGAATAACACATAGGCTACTTTTATCCCGAAAAAAATGTTAGGTTCCAGAGGGATTTCCAAGAAACTTAGTTAACGCAGACGAAGTCGCGGGCGACCTCTAGTTATATATAAATTCCTTGCATTATTTATTACTGAGACATGGAACGTATATACATATATGGACCTATTTTAAAAGAATATAGTAAGTTTGTAATTTGAGTGCAAAGGCCGATTCTGATTTTGCAGACTTACGTAGGTACGTAATGTATAATGCATTAGATATTTTTTCTAACTTTAATAAGTCTTTCTGGTTCTGGGAGCTACTATGGAATGAGAGGGATCGCCGAAAAGAAGGAAACGCTTCTTCTTTGAAGTTGAGTATAAGGCCCTATGCTCGATCCGAAATTCTGAACCCTTTGACCCTTTGCTCTTCCCTTTACTGGCGAATATACCTACCAAGCAAGCAAAATACCTTTATCATCATGTCACAAAGAACAGATTAAATTCTTTACGATTTAGGTAAATTTATTGATGATGTCGTATGGCTGATGAAAACTTATTATAAGCTCTTGTATTATCCTTTCGTCCTCTATTAGTCGTTTTTTGCTGACAAAACAACAGGCGAAAGAATATATCTGCTTTTAACCGAAGTAGCGATTTAAATAAAGATAATTGATGTCGTTACTAATACAATTTATTGCCATTCCTTATGAGTTACAAAAATTGTTTTACAATGCATTGATTATTTTAATGAGCTATAACTCTTTTACTCTTAGATATTTTATTCGTTCAAATACCTACCTTACTTTTGACTTGATATAAGTACCCTTTGCTAAAAATATTATTACCACTTATGAAGTGTACCTATTTTTTGCGATCTTTAAATCTATGCAAAGGTAAATAGAAGGCAACTAAATATATACTCCTACTTAATTATAATGTTACTTTGTGAGATAAAATAAAATCATTCATTCATTCGTAAAAGAAGAAACTGACTTAACAACGCACAGCCCAAACCGCTAGGTCTTGGCACGTATATTCCTTATAATATAAGGTATAGGGGTGCACTAAGAGAGGATTTTTCAAAATCATATCCGGAAGGGTTTAACAAAGAGGATGAAAGCTTAAATGAAAAATGTTATTCCTCGAGTTAATAGACTTGAAACTTGGCAAGAATACTTATCTAAATTATAAAGTTTATCATTTTAAATTTTCCTACATTACCCCCTAAAAGGGGATTGGCAAGTTGTCGAAGTTTATATGGATTAATTTTAACACGGATTTCGATTACTCGAAACTTCGTATTTTAACTAAAGATCAGAAATAAAGAATAACGTGTAAGTATCACGGTTTTTCAAAAATCTACTCCTAAGAGGATAAAAAGGGGACGACAGTTTGTATGAAAAATCTTATTCTTTGAGTTAATAGAATTAAAACTTAGTACGAATACTCTCTCTAAATAAATAATAAAGTTTGCCATTTTGAATTTAACAGCTGAAAACCTGATTTCAAAAATTCAAAATTTTATTCAGACCTTGCGCTCCTCATCTTGGCATAATTATTAGAGCGGTTTTGCGAAAGTCGTATAAAAAACTTCAAAGAACGACCAAGCAGCACTCATTAATGACATATTACGGAACTCCTTTGAAGGACACCAGATTGTTTATGACTCAATAGATACTGTGGTAAACACTGACGAGGCCGTTATTTATCCAGTAGAGTTCTTAAACACGGAACGCACCAAGTCTGCTATACCACAGACTTTTACTGCGTGTGGGTACACCTGTTATTTTATAAAGAAATTGAAAGCCACCCAAATTTTGCAACGGCACTAGGTTGCAAGGTTTGCACCGGAACGTAGTAGAAGCCAGAATATTGACAGCACCTGCTCTGGGAGAAACAGTGTTTGTACAACGTATTCCATTATTAACAAAATGATGTTATCCCCTTTGAATTCAAAAGGCTCTAGTTTCCACTGAAGGTCTGTTTCGCCATGATCATAAATAAGTCGCGGGGCAAACCCTCAAACAGGACTATTTCTCCCACGGTCAGTTTGTGATATGGAATACAAGTTGCGTTATATTCAAAGTGTTTAAGAACTCTACTGAATGATTTATCTACTGCATCGTTAGTGTTTACCACAGACTTGAACATTTATTTTCGCTAATTGGTAGTTATCAGACCTTTGACTGTTACTGTAGAGCATAGATACTTTTACTAAGGGCCATTAAGGTCACGCTTATTTCGCTTCGGCACGTTCCCCTTGGGCCTATCGGAAAAGTCTTCCATCCTTTATTTTTGCCATAATCAAACAAAATTCAACAGTTTTGCCGGTTCCCAAAATGTATACTTTTTTGTTGCTTTGTTAATGAATCACAGAAATTATTACTACGTATATACTGACAAACCTTCTAAAGCTACCACATCGTTAAGTAATCTTTTTACCGGCGATAGTACTTCCATCCTAGACAATCATATTTGGATTTTCATAATACTTTTGTAAGTTTCTCTGTTCACACACCAGAGAGTTCGCACCAGGTGAACACCACCAACATGGTGTTCAAACTCAATAGCGCACCGAAGGTGCACGTCAAGTTTTATGTATATACTAGCTGACCCAGCGAACTTCGTACCGCCCTAAAAAAATAGGGGTTGTCCAGCGGACAAAATTGTGAATCTAAACCATTCTCAGATCCCCTTGAACACACACAAAAAATTTCATCAAAATCGGTCCAGTCGTTTAAGAGAAGTTCAGTGACATACACACTCACAGAAGAATTATATATATAAAGATTTATATAATTGGGTCTTAAATTGCACTCATTGTATTGCGCAGGGAATGCCCCTTTTTTATTTTAAAATTATCCCGAATTTGACACGTTATTTATGTTTGCAAATATAAAACCACTAACTTCATATTTTTAAATAGTAAGCAGATTGATGACAAAGCAGATTTGATAAAAATTGGCTACCTGAATCACTAAGTCTACGCGGATGAAGGAACGGTTGATAAACTATGCTTTCCCCAAGTATAAGCTATGTATTTTCTATTTCTAAAGTTTCCTATTTGTAGTATTTACTTCATGCATTTTTGATGGCACCTACTTAGGCTTTCCGTACCTTTTACGTCTCTCAAGTCCCAAAGATATATGACATCTAGTTTTTTTATAAGTTGTGTTCATAAAATTCTAAAAGGAATCTTTTAAAATGTAGGCACGATGACGACGCTGCCAACGGAATCCCTCACAGAGTACATCATAGTGGAGTACCGCTGGGTGGTGGTGATATTTGCGCTGCTGCCCATGTCGCTATTCTGGAAGATATGGTCTTCGCTCAGAAACTACGTGGTGTTCAAACTCAATAGCGCACCGAAGATGCACGACAGGAAGGTCAAGCACGTTCAAAAGCAGGTACAAATAAATCTACATTTAACTTAATGTGGAAATTAGCTTTCTGCCAAATGTAAAAAATCCATCTACACATAACCGGTCCATCCGTTTAAAAGGAATTGGACAAACACATAGACAGAAGAAATATATAATTATAAACATAAAGAAGAAAATAAGATTAGAAATGTAATTAAAAAGAGGTAGAAAATACCGAATCAGAGCTGAGCACTGCATCTAAGGACGAACTTTTGGTAGTATCCCAGGGGTCCACAATCTAGAGCAGAGTTCCCCAAACTTTTTTCTGTCGTAGACCCCTTGCCATGTTTTTCCGTGTTGGGTAGACCCCCTACTTACCTGATTTTGATTTTTTTTCGCTGACGTAGACCCCTTGCAGGTTGTTATAGACCCCTAGGGGTCGATATAAACCACTTTGGGAATCACTGATCTAGAGGATGGTTGGATCACCGCAAAAGAATTGTTTGTGCTATCTATTCATTATTACGGTATAATTTCCAGGTGAAAGATTGGCTGGTCAATGGTCGGAAGACAAAGCTATGCACGGCCCGGCCCACGTGGCAGACAATGTCCTTCCGCCAGGGGCTGTACAAGAAGTCATTCACCAACATCGAAGTTAACCTGGTGGATGTACTCGAAGTCGACACTAAGAATATGGTAAATATGACTTACCTTTTTATGACTGGGAAATTCGTGACGTCTCGTTCACTTAGCTCCCTTTTATAAAAGTCCATTGACGCGACATTCACTGATTGGCCAAGCAACATTCATTGGTGGGGACCAACTCTGCGTTCACTCGTAGCCCAACTGTCCATAGCGAGTGGGCGTCGAAAATATAGCTGTTGATAGGCGGCTCTAATAAGCAATGACATAACCTAACCGACTTTTGCCTTAGCGATGAGCATTACTTCATGGCGAGCTTCTAACAATTTTAGTACATTTATTGTGGCAAGTGCGTGATTGAGCCGTTAGCCGTAACATAATTTTCCTAAAATTCAAAATTTTATATCGTTTATCTAATTTAGGTTAGAAGCACTAGTGAATGTCGAAAAGCTACGCAATTAGTTCGCAAATCTAGGGCGGGAGACCTTGTACTGAGGAAAACCGGCAAGAAACTCAGCGGGGGCAATTTTTTTCTCCCTGTATTATATATAGAGTCGTCGAGTAGAAAATAGACTCTAATATGCGATAATTCATGAAGTCACCTTTCAATACATAATTTGCAATAAACAATTAACAGAATACTGTTTTCAACACATAGTTTGAGAATGCCGTGTCATGCAGTTCTGGCAAATAATGTGTGATTAAAGTGAAATATAGCTATACCCAAATTCTATAACAACCTTATTTAATTCAAAATAGTGTTATCTTACAAACTTTCCAGACGGTTCGCTGCGAGCCATTGGTCACTATGGGCCAATTATCCCGCACCCTGGAGCCACTCGGGCTAGCTCTGGCGGTAGTCCCAGAGCTGGACCAGCTGACTGTGGGCGGATTGGTCATGGGAACCGGCGTGGAGACCTCGTCTCACGTGCATGGTCTGTTCCAGCACATCTGCTTGCAGTACGAGCTGGTGCTCGCTGATGGTTCTGTAGTTACATGCAGTAAGGTGAGTCGAAGCTTTCCAAACGGTTCGCTGCGAGCCTCTGATCACTATGGGCCAGTTATCCCGTACCCTGGAAACTGTTCTAGTCAACATTTTTAAAGTGCTATTTAATTGTAGAGAAAAATAAATATGGTAAAAAGTACGAGTTTATCCAATTGCCCAAGTGGGTATGTACCGCTGAATTTAGTTGTTTATTTGGGTGCTTTTCATACTCTCGGAGCTTTATAAATTTACTATCTCGAGCTCTTCCGTGATTCGGAAGGCACGCAAAACAAACAAGGACTATGAGGTTACGTGCGGGCGCACATAGGCACATAGGTCTCGTTGCCTCTGAGATATCCTGTCAACATGGCGGTTTTAGTTTTTGTTTTCATGTATTGCTACGTCACAACCGCTCTCAGACATTTGAATTTCCCACAAGTTTTTCACACTTTTCAATAATTAATTACTTTCTCAAAGAGAAATTTTATTAAAAAATATTGATGGAGGGACAATTTAAAACTAGTAGAGTTCATAAACAAATAAAATGAACCTTATTTGAATTTCATGCTTAATCCCTATTATTTTGATAATTCCATTGTAATAAAATGTTAATATTCCTTCAGGATGAAAACCCAGACCTGTTTTACGCGGTGCCATGGTCATACGGCACTCTAGGGTTCCTGACCTCAGTGGTGATCAAAGTGATACCTGCTAAGAAGTAAGTACCACTACTTCTAGTGAAATATAATAACAGTGCTGTAAAGACTGAAGGCGTGATCACTACAGCCAGGCCCTTTTTTCAATATTTGCTGCTAAAATTTACAAATGTATATTATAAATCTTGATAAACTATGGTGTAGCTAAGCGAAGGCTAAGCAAAAGGCAAGGTACAAATGAAAACAAAGTGGAAATCGAGATCATCACATAGCGATCGCTCGTGTATGGCAGACTTAATTTATTTTAATTGATAGTTATCTTCATTCTAGAATAAGGATCTATCATATATGTTTAAGTTAGCAATAATCCTTAAACCCAAATATCTTGGGTTCCAATCCCGGTAGGAGTATTTATTTGTCAAGTCGTGGTCATTTATTATTTAATAATGAATGTATATTTTTTGTTTCAGATATGTGCGTCTCGAATATCACCCGTATGCGAAACTGTCTGAGCTTGCTGATAGATTCAGAAAAGAAAGTTTAGACAAAGAGCCACACCAGTTTATCGAAGCTTTACTGTTCACGAAGGACACTGGAGTAGTGATGCTGGGAGACATGGTGGATGAACCGGGCTCTGATGGAAAGGTAACATTATTTTCTCTGGGATTAAACCACAGACAAAAGGGAATAGACTAATAGACACTTGCATGAAATTGCCAACACTAGAAAAAGAGAAAAACAACTAATACATATACAAAACCGATCGTTTTGTCGTGTAAGACAACCGTGTAGGCAAGTAGGGGCAATTCATATGTAGGCAATTGTCCCTGCTTGCTTACAAACACAAAGACACATCAAAATTAAGTCCCCACTCTCTAGATAACCTCTGCGGCAGGAATGTGAGTAGCCGGTTTTAATGTACTATATATCTAGAATATCCTGAAATATTTGACGATTTGTATCCTGATTCCAGGTCAACAAGATCGGGAAATGGTATTCAGAGTGGTTCTTCGTACAAGTTCAACGACATCTGAAAAACTATCGGAAGGATATCAGCAAGATTGTGGTGGAGTACATCCCCCTAAGAGATTATTATCATCGGCATACGAAGAGTCTTTTCTGGGAATTGCAGGTTAGTTTGTCTTTTTGATAAAACTTTTTTAACGGGCATACTGCGCAATACGTCGTTTGGAGGCTAATTTCTTGAACAACTGATTTGTAAAAGTAACGTTTAAAGAACCGCGACTTCTTCTGTATTAAATAAAGTCATTTCCTATACAAACTTTCATTGCGTATTTTTGCTAGTCCATGTTCTTCTCCTTCTTGCCCACTAAACATCGATGTTCTATTTTCTCGCCCACTAAGCACCGATGCTGTGTTTTTTCGCCCACTAAGCTCCAATGATCTGTTTTCTCGCCCACTACGCACCGATGCTCTGTATTATCGCCCACTAAGCACCGATGCTCTGTATTCTTCTCCACTAAGCTCCAATGCTCTGTATTCTCCCCCAGTGAACTCCGATGCTCTGTATTATCACTTGAAACTACAGACAGAGAGACATAATAATATAACCAATGTTATAATATTTTTAACATACATATTTTTGTATTTACATGACTAGTCTGGACATACTGCAAGATTTAAAAGTTTTTCTACGGTATAGTCTCCCGACTCGTTAGGGAGGATATATTAAAATGTTTACCAACTAAGAACATACACATAGCCCGCCTGATGGTAAGCAGCCACCCACCATTGCACCACAGAACCTTACTTCCCGACAGAAACACAACACCATCAAAAGATTGTGTTATTTTATTGTGGTCTTCTGTAAGGTGGAGATTAGTTCCCCAAAAGGACGCTTCAACTCGAGCTGCAAATCCACTGTAAAATTACAGGACATAGTCCCGTTCGGCAACAGCGCGTGGTTTCGCTACCTGCTGGGCTGGCTGATGCCGCCGGAGGTGTCGCTGCTGAAGCTCACGCAGCCGCGCGCCATCGCTGAACTATACGAGCGCGCGCACGTCATACAGGACATGCTGGTGCCAGTGCAGCATCTGGATGATGCGGTGCTCACGTTCCATAAGGAGTTCGAGGTTTGTATCAATCAAACATGATGACATCATCCGGGACATATTTGTGCATGTTTTACATCCAAAGGACGCAGCGCTCATATGGGGAGTAATAAAGGATATGCTGGTGCCCGTCCAGCATCTGACATCTGGAGGACGTCGAAGTCACGTTCAATAGGGAATTTGGGGTTTGTTTCAAACATTAGGCGGGGACTTACGTCATAAGTTATGCTGGTGCCATGTCCAACATCTAGAGGATTTTGTACTCAAGGAGTTCCAGGTACTTATTAAATATAGGGTAATAGGGTAGGAACCAACGTTATCTAATTGAACCTGCTGATTGGTGTTGCTGCTGAATAGCTATTAAATTTTTTGAAATTTTGATAGTAACATTGAAAAAATTAAGTATTTATCTCGTTTTACAGGTAAACCCGTTTATTAATGCTATATAGTTATATTTGTATATATATGATATATGGTCTCATTAAGACCTTTCAAATGATACCTTTATTATAATAATTAGAATAGTTTTTTTATTGACATTTTGACATTGCTGTTATTTAAATTTTCACGGTTTCGGTATCCTATGTTGCCCAGAATGGTGAAAGGATTCTAACGATACAACACATATCTAAATCGGCTCAGGCGTTAAGAAGTTATTATGGAATAACGATTCATGAACCCTGAATACATTACACGCTTTTTTTGGGCGGTCATTAAAAAAGAGTTACTAAAGTCTCCGTGAGAAAGCAGCAGATGTTTTCTGTCCCATCCCAATCCTGTCTTCCATCCATCTTTTGCGGCAAGAGTGAAAACTTCCGTTGAGTTGAACTCGCAATGCCAAATACCTACAATAATATGGTGGTCATCCATCATTGTAAGAGTTCTGTTATTCTGACCATAGTAATGCCGCAATTAGATTTATTATATTCGGGTGCACGAAAGACATTACATGAATTCGGGCTTCTTTTTCTTCAGCAGTCGGTCCTTCATTACTGAAGATCTTAACCACTTCATGGAGTGTACCAGGAGTGAATTATTTGCATCTATCTCCATCTGTTGCGATCTCTGGCCGCTCTCACCACGTCTCAGAAAGTTTGTTGGTGTTAATCCCTCCCTAATTTGATCCGACCACCTTGTTGGGGATATGCTTCGACTCCCTTTGCCTTGGATGTCCTACAACAACTATTTTTTCCAGATTCTCATTGCCACGCCTAACGATGTGATCAAAGTATTAGAGGATCCGCTGAAAAACGCTGATGACAATCGGTCGATTATTTTTATTTGGTCAAGAATTGATGCATTAGTGTGCTAAGCAGTCCACGGTATACGCAGCATTCGCCTCCAGCACCATATCTCAAATGCATCAATTATTTTCATCTCTCTTGCCAATATGGTCCATGTTTCCGCGCTATATAGAAATATTGGAAATACCAGAGCTGTGTTGTTGACGTGTTTTAGTTACATTTTTCCAAATATTTCGTACTTATGTTTTTCCAAATATTTTGGAGCCGAGTCATTGCATCTTTGGCCATAGCTATTCTTCGTTTAATTTCTGGTCGCAGCTGCCGTCATTGCTGATGTTAGATCCCAGATCAAAGTTGTTTACTGTTTCAATATCTGGAATAGTGTCTGTGTTCGCTAGTTGTCTGGTCCGATCGACTATCATTAGCTTTTGGTTTTTTCTTTATTAATTTTCAAGCCCAGAATATTGCTTTCAGCTTCCAGTCGCTTCCAGATGCTATCAGCGTCATGTCATCGGCTAAGCGGAGGTTGCAAATTTTCTTGCCTCCGATGGAGAAGCCTTCCTGCCATACGTCTACAACTTTACGAATTATATATTCGCCGTAGATATTAAATAATATAGGAGACAGGATGCATCCTTGTCGCACTCCCTTTTGTATTTCGAATACAGAACTGTCGGTGTCTATTCGTACGTAAGAACGGTTATTCGTGTAGAGGTAAGGTATCAGATCAACAAGGTGTTTCCCTGCCATTACCTCTCACAGTTTTTCCCATCTAACATCATTAAAGGTTTAGTGTAGTCAATAAAGCACAGGACTACTGGTGTGTTCAATTCTCTGCTTTTTTCGACAGTCAGACGGATGTTCTGAATATGTTCACGTGCCCCCCTACCTTTTACAAAACCATCTTGCTCTTCAGGAGTCTGCGGATCAAAGTAGTTTCTAAGTCGTGCATGGATAATGTGTAAAATTATCTTGCTAGCGTGTGAGATCAGAGCTATTGTCCAGTAGTTATCCCATTTTCTCTTGGAGCCTTTTTGTGTAAGGGTATGTAAACTAATTCTGTCCAGTCGTGGGGTCAGTGTCCAGTTCTCCAGATAGTGTTGCATAAATCTGTTAATAATTTGAGACCATGCGGACCAAGGTTCTTAAGTAACTCTGCAGGTATTACATCGCGACCCGGAGATTTACCATTTTAGGCGTTTTATCGCGGGTTCAACTTCCTAATGCACTATATCTGGTTCGAGGTCTCTTAATTCCCTTTCGGCACAAGATTCTGTCTGTTCGACTTAATTGTATAGGGTGGCATATTCCTTCCACCGCTCTAAAACTGCATCTAGCTCAGTCAGTAGTTTGCCATCTTTGTCTTCTACCATGTATGGCTTCAGTGAGGTAGTTCTTCTGAGCTGCTTTAGTTTAGTGTAGAGGTATTTGGTTTAAAGTTGTGTGCGTGCTATTTCAATTCGACACTAATATTAACGAATTCGGGTACCCAAAGCAATATTTACACTGGAAGACGGTGTAGGTTAAAGAAAATGAAATCTATCCGAATACGGGTGGACTCGACTTCGTTCATTTACACTAAGCCGTTTACCCGTATTCGTTTCGCACTAGTATTTCGGCTAATAACCAACTCTAATCGTGCCATAATAGAAATAACCTCCGAGAGCGGTCCCTGTCTTACTGTAAAGAAAATCTCGGCAGTTGGCGGCCAATAGTTCTTAAAGGTATTGACAGCACAACTGGTTTCTTTTATTCTACAGGGTTATTAATTTCATGGTAGTTTAACTCGGTCCATTTTGTATGTCCAAATGTATCGGTTCTAATTCTAAGTAATGGTTACTCAGAGAGTAAAATTTCGGTTGATTCTAAGGTCCAAACATACCTATCTTCAGAAGTTCTTTTTTCCAAAAGTTACTTTCTTTTGTTATTTTTTCTTGCAAGTATAAGTTACGATCCATTTTGAATATGTTTCAGGTGTATCCCATTTGGTTGTGTCCGTTCAAGGTGTTGAACAACCCGGGACAGTTGAAGATCAAATGTGATGATAAATGGCAGATGTTTGTCGACATTGGCGTCTATGGTGTGCCTAAGGCTAAAGGATATGAGACGGTAAGGAAATCCTGTAATTTTGCTTGATTTTCTATTCTGTATGAGATTTGAATAGCAAACTTCTCAGTGAAAGTGAAATGCTTTGAGAACAAAATATAGGGCGCAGCAGGGCGTTTTGCCGGCGCTTGGTGTATTATTACTTTCATAAAGCACCATACATTTTCTATTCACAGCATATCGTCCATGCGTTCGTGGCACTTGTAACATCAAGCACCTTGTCGATGTCGAATGATGTCGAATGATGTCGAAGTCATTACTAGACTATGAAATTCCCCACTGCTGAGGCACAGGCTTAGTGAAGATCGAAGGCAGAAGCCGAGACCAACTACTTAACGTGCCTTTCGAAGTACGCAGGAGCTCGAGATATGAAATTTTCGGTCACCCATTTTATGAACGGCCATAGCGGAAGTTGCTTTACTTCCACGATCTCCGACCAAACTGTGCTGCACTGCTTCATTGAGCTTCTCAACTCCCTTATATCACACATAATAGAAAGACCTATTATTCGGGACGGCTCTTGGCATTACCGAAAATAATTGCTTAAATTTAGCGTTTTTGATCTGAAGAAAATTTTAGTACCGTCTGCTGTCTGGTCCGTGTGTATTTTTATCCAGTAAAATTTTCTTTAGCTTTAAGCATCCAGCAGTAATATCCTTAAAAAATAAAAATATCACTTATCGCTTTTGACTTTAACAACTTCTGGTCGCTAATAAAATTGTGCGTGTCAGAAATGGCGCTTTGTTCTGAGCCACAGAACATAGAAACCTCTTTCAGTGTTCTGAACCGACTGCATAGGCGCAGAGAATACTTACGCTGTGCTTATATTCGTAAAATTAGAGGGATAAAGCAATAGGCTATTTTAAGTATGAAAAATAATGTACCAATTGTTGCCATCTGTATTTAATATTGTTTTTTTTTTACTATTTACTATAACATTAGCAGCTATTTTACTATTTTGAAAGAACAAATAATTAAAAACTTTTCTATAAAATCACTAAATAGAAATATTTTTTTTTGCTCCTCATTGAAAACGCCTGGGATTGGCCAAGACTAAGATGCTAGTAACGTCACATGCTAGTGCACTTATGCTCAAAGTGACATTATATTGTATCGTTTGACGTTGTAAAGACAGTCGTATGGCGTCACAAACTAGTGAGGCTCCATAATGTCCAGAGAACGTTTTCGCGGCGACTTGAAAATTGAAATTTAGTTTTTTTAACTGAATTACGCAACAGAATTAAATATATATCCACTTTTTATTGACTCCATAGACATTTGTAAATAATATGAGATCGTTTTATAAAACTTATCAAATACCCTATTATCTTATTATCCTATTCCATTTTGCTCTGCAGGTGCCCTCAACGCGCCGCATCGAAAGCTTCGTGACATCTCGCGACGGTTTCCAAATGCTATACGCGGACACGTACACTACTCAAAAGGAGTTTCGTGCCATGTTCGACCACACGCTATACGATGCGGTGCGCGCGCGCCTGCCGCACTGTACTGATGCCTTCCCAGAGATTTATGGGAAGGTCAACAGGAACGTTAGGAAATAATCAATATAATTAAATATTTACATTCATAATAAATTCGTAATTCTTTATTTAAATTCGAAAATCCTTTTCACGCTGGAATCCGGTTCGAAGGACCAAAGATTGACAGCTCCGTAATTTTATCGCATCGTCAAAGTTTCTAGGGAAACTAAACAGCGTCCCTACCGGACGTAAGAGCAAACTGGCTCTTTCCGTACAATTTTTGATGATTACGATACGATTACGGGCCTCCCATTATAAACAGTTTTATATATAGAAAAAATTATAAATCTTTCTCGAATAATTAATAACTATTATTCCTACATCTCTGCAAATTTAAGTGTTATATCGTTCATTCTATTCCACTGCCTATTATAGAACGTTCATGTGTGTTATTTTTACAAAAATAAATAATTAAAATACTCGTACATCAATATATCATGCCTACATTACATATACTTCTAAATGTGACGACAGCAAATATATACGTAAATAAACAATTGTGAACATACTATTTACAACAAGCGGACGCCTACGACTTCGTTATTAATGCCTCAAGAACCTTCACATTTTCCGGGATAAAAAGTATCCTATGTCTCCATCCAGGTCACAAACTATATACGCACCAAATTACATCCAAATCCGTTCAATAGTTTTTAGTTAGTTGCGCGATTGAGTTACAAACATGCAAACTTTCACATTTATAATATTAAGAAAGTAGGATGAATGAAACCAAAACACAGTTACAGAAATAATGATGGGCAGAACATAGTCATTACAGTCAACTTGAGGATAGGAACATTGACATTTTCATCCACTGTTAACATTAGCAAACGGTCGGCAATAAAAAGTCGGTAACTATGTGCATTTATACAACTTTATGAATCCGACCTTTTTCTTCGTACACCTGGAAAAGTTCAGACGCTCATAAAAAGAAATGTAGCAAATCAGAAATTGTAACGGCAGTAGTATTTTTTCGTTAGTCAATTTTATTTCCATACTTTATAAGGTATTTAGATAACGGGTGAAAACAATGAAGAAACCAAACTTTTTCTATTTTATTTGGTGACGCATAGTAGATGATTGTTTAATGGGATAAATGTATACCTAAACATATATCCAAAGAAGTTAACTTTATGATGGTTTACCTATTGAAGTTGGACGCTGGTCTCTTAAGAGATCACATATTAATAAAAAAAAACTACATAACACATTACTACATTGTAAATGCGAACATTTTCCACAAGGTTTTGCCTGCATATTCTCTATTTTTGAAAATTGCGCAAAAAGGTCAGTTAAGTACCAACATTACGAACTACACGATTGATCTGGTTAAACATACATAGTAAGTATGGCTACTGCTCCAAAATAACGTTATCCAGTTGATCGCTCTGGTGCTTTTTTGTTTATTAATAGTTTAAAGTTTTATTTATTAAAATATACCCGTAAAAGAGCTATTATAGATAAAATTACACATATATATTTTGTTGAAACACACTTTGTTGAAGCGGTACGCGGGAAGAAAATATCAAAATTTTACCTTAGAAGAGAGCTACAACAAACAAAATGATATGGTGTACGCACACAGTAGTGAAGAAGCGAGCAACCGTATTCCGCGTGTCCAACGAGGTCATTTTCCATCCTCGCTCATGGTATGTTTGGGAGTTTCTTATTGGGGCTGAACAGAGGTACATTTTTGTGAGAAAGGTGTAAAAACGAATGCAGTTGTGTATCAAAATACAGTCCTGATGAACCTTGTGGAACCTGTTTCTCATACCATGTTCAATAACAGGCACTGGGTATTCCAACAAGATTCGGCGCCGCGCCAGCTCATAGAGCGAAGACCACACAAGACTGAAAATCGACTGTGAAATCGACTTCATCCGGCATGAAGACTGGCCCTCATCCAGTCCAGATTTAAATTAGATTACAATTTATGGTAAAAAAAACCACGGTCATTTTGGTATATAAATGGTTACAGACCCGTAGAAAAGACTGACCCGCTGGCCGCCCATGGCACAGCGAGTCGAGGCTTCGGGCCCCGGGGGTTATTGCCGGAGACTTTCCGCCCGGCCGATCGGTGCATCTCCTCTTTAGAAATTCTCACGGGGAAACAAGCCTCGCTTATTTGCACGGTTTTGACGTTCCGTTATTTGTCTCTTTATCCTCCATAAAAGCAGCTGCAAAAACAAAGCTACGTACAGTGGTGCACACCTTCACGCCTTCCCGTTTAAGCCGTGGCGGACGTGGGTGCAGCGTCCATACATTTTTGCCCAATGTCCTTTAGGTAAAAGAAAAAAGTTATTTAATATTAATTAAAAAAAACTGGTGTTAGGACACACCAGAGGGATAAATTTTAGGTAGCTTGCGATTTTTTTTAACGTATTTATAATTCAGTTAGGCACCATTATGTAATGTCCAAACTACAATAAACAAAATTTTTAATTACAAATTTATTATATAAAACCTAGTTTACCAGGCAGACGCTATTTTTTCGTTTAGAGAAGTAGCCGTATGTACCTATAAATTGTTTGTAAGTTTTATCTCTATTACGAAGTTTTGTAAGTGTTCCATCCGCTATCAGTTAAACTTGACCTAATGGCTGGTTATTTTGTAGACCCGGCGCGGCTTAACGCTCGCTTAGATAAATGGAATAATACCTACTTATTTACTTACTTAACTTCAACAGTTGACTTCATTAATTGACAAAAATAAGGTACTTAGTTTAAGGTGTGCTTCTTAGGTCTGATTCCGATCAACAACAACACCCAGGCATCATCGAGTCTGGATACCTTTTTGTAAGATTTTTTTATTATTTGTGATGTAGCCAGATATGGTACCTATTTCTACCATTTCTTTAATTATTGTCTATAGCTGCTGGCGATACCTGCGTATGGCATGACACGTTTGGCGGGATGCAACAATAGTGCTACGTAACAAGAGCTCTAGAGCAATGCTTGATAGGTATATGGGTAGTCGAGTCTGTCTGCTAGGACTACACGGTCAGCATACTGTTGGCACTCCCCCGGGCCACCCCAGCAAAGCGCTTGTGCATTATGGAATAGAAACAATATACGCGCGCTTTTGTGAAGGCATGAGGCGCCTCGCAAAAACGTAGTAGCCCATCAACATACTAAACGCGCTATGTCAAACACAAAGCGGTCTTATGAAACCCGCTAGGCGTATCGCGTCGTCGGATGTGTTGCATCTCATCGGTTTAGAAGTGGCGCAGCTTTGTTGCCCGGGGGTGCTGAAAGAGACTCGGCGCATCCGTTGGGTCTCGGTAGCATGGACGTTTATTGCATCCACCCAGACAGCGAAGGAAGGCAGTTTCCCGCCCGCCTAACATCGGTGTTTGATCAGTTAAACTAATTTTAAACGATTTCAATGTATACTTAGCCTAGAGGATATATGTGTAAAAGATGATTTAAAACACAAAGGGGCAACCTTCACCTCATTCGAATACCTTGCGAATGTGCCAGTCACCTGTACTCTATGATAGCTAGCCTCCCTCGTTCCAGCTCAATGTCCCAAATACCTAAACTCCACCTACGCCATACAACGGGGACTCGTTCAGCAAAATGATGGCATGACAGTGGCAGTCATTTTCCCTGAGCCACTCTGAGAGACCATAAGCTAACTCTTTTCAAAGATTAGCCCAGTTCGGCAGCATAGGATTAAACGTGTCAAATGATATATGAAGTATAAAATAGTGCAACACATAGCCACGAATTCGCATCGCAACGCAAATATCTGCGAGCTAGCACGAATGCACTGCAAGAATTTCCGATCTAGTTAACAGGATGGTGGCGTCATTTTAGTCCGCATTGAGACTTCCCTTTGTACAATTGTTTTTGGAGACATGTGTTGAAAAATCAAAAGCTTTTCAAATCAAGATATGCTCATACTAAAATAATAAAAACAACTAATTCAGTTCTCAAACCATAGTTAAATAGTTTTCGAGTAGAATAGTTCCCATCAGCTTTCTTTTCTTTCTTTCATCAGCTCAGTTTGACGACCTCTGTGGCCGAGTAGTTTATACGCCGCGCCGGGTTTCAAGGTGTCGCCTACTCGAGAGGGCCCGGGTTCGAATCCCGGTGTGGGCAAGATGTTTGTGTGATGAATACGAGCATTTGTACTCCAGTCATGGATGTTGAATATGTATTTCTATATAAATATACTTATATATGTACAGTATTTGTATTCTATCCGTTACCTTGCTTACTTTGGGGCTAGACTAATTGGTGTGAGTGTTGGAAATATTTATTTTTATTTATCAGCGTTCATAATCGTAATAAATGGATGAACTCAAAATCTCCTTTTTCTTCTAATATCTATTTAAACAAACAGCAGTGCAACAATCTTTTTGAGATCCATGTCACTATTACTAAAATACTTCCATTACGGCTGACTACCGTTGAATGTATTGGTCACCTTTACCAAAGCTTTGCCGCGCGAAATCGTATCACAGCAACTTACATCGCAAGTTCCTGCGACGCGACGTCGTATCGCATTGCAGTTTTGTGTGGGAGCCCTTATATTAAAAACTTTAAATGCTACCCCAATACCATCGTTAATACCTTATTGTTAGGTTTATACCCAGTATGAAAAACAATGTACCAATTGTTGGCATCTGTATTTATTATAAATATTAGCAGCGATATTACTATTCTGAAAGAACAAATAATTAATAACTTTTCTATAAAATCGTTAAATATACAATCGTGAAATACATATTAAACATCCATGACTGGAGTACAAATGCTCGTGTTCATCACACAAACATCTGCCCCACCGGGATTCGAACCCGGGACCTCTCGAGTCGGCGACATTATGAAACCCGGCGTACAAACCACTCGGCCACAGAGGTCGTCAAATATCTTTTAATCAACCTAATGACTTAATGCAATGCAATATAAACGAATCAATCAAATGGTCCGGAACAGCCGGAAACAGGTAGAGTATATACAAAAGATGAAGCATGTAATTCTATGCCATAAACACATCACAGAACTAAAGTACTT